GGCAACAAAAACCAAATAGGCATAATAAAAAACTTGTCGTGGGCTGGAACAAGCACGTTAGTGAGGCTCATGCGAATGCTAGACTCAGCTTCAAAATATGGATCGGGTATGGTAAACCATCGAGTGGCCCAATATACAAAGCTATGATTGAAGCGCGTAAATTTTTAAAGGTAAGTTGAAGTGGTGTCAAAACCACCAAGATCAAATAAGAATGGATCTAATAGCATCACTTCACTCAAAATCGGACTTTAAGAATTTTTGGAAACTTTCCCCTGAGTGTCGATGGGGTATCCAATCCTGTCAATATTGCAAATATTTTTAAAAATTACTTTGCCGTCCAGTCTCCTCTGGGGCCTCCCAATCGGAAGTTTGACGACATTAGGAATCGAAAGCTGAACATTTCAACAACATTTCTCACCAAAGACATAAAGCGTGCCATTTTTAAATGCGTGGTGGTAAGTCGCCAGGTCATGACGGGCTTAGCGTAGATCACTTGCGGCATGCCGGTGCACACCTCACACGAGTGCTCACGCTGTTATTTAATCTATGTGTAAATCACTCGTACCTACCTCCTGATATGTTGCGAACTCTGGTGGTGCCGATTGTCAAAAGCAAGACCGGGAATGTATCGGACAGGTCAAATTATAGGCCTATTTCGTTAGCTACGATAGTAGCAAAAGTGCTGATAGTGTGCTGAACTCTTATTTGAGCCGGCATGTAAAGTTACAGGATGCGCAGTTCGGATTTCGGCCCGGGCTGTCAACAGAAACTGCTATTTTCAGCTTGAAGTGCACTGTCAGGTATTACACTGATAGACAAACTCCCGTCTATGCCTGTTTTTTAGATCTCTCCAAGGCATTTGATTTGGTTTCGTATGACATCCTCTGGCGGAAACTAAATGATACTGGGCTGCCACCGGAGTTGGTATGTCTCTTTAGATTCTGGTACTTGAATCAGGAAAGCCGTGTGCGGTGGGCGGGTGAGTTCTCGGATCCATGGAGGATGGAATGCGGGGTGAGAATTTATATATGAATGCGCTGATTGAGGAACTTGGCGGCAAGCAGCTTGGTTGTTTTATTGACGACGTATGTGTCAATAATTACAGTTACGCGGACGATATGGTGCTGCTGGCACCTTCAGTTAGCGCAATGAGAAAGCTACTTAATATATGTGAGTCCTACGCGGAGTCACATGGTCTAGCTTACAATGTTAAAAAGACAGTGTAATGGTCTTTAAGGCGGGAAACAAGCACGACGACGCACAACTTGTTGTTGTGTTCGTCTTGTGACTGGATATTTAAAAAAAACGTTTGATTTGATATTATGATTGAACGAATGAATGAATACCAAAAAGTGGGAAAATTAATAACGCGATTGAAAAGGTAGGCACTTATCTTTTATAATAGATGAATGAATCAGTTAAGTACACTTTGAATAGGTTACAAATTATTTCTTTTTCGTTTCAATAGACAGTAAAACAGTTTTGTAACTGTGGATTACTTTACAAAGTTGTCTTAGGTAAATGATCGCAACATGAAACACTTATTCATTAAAAGCGTGAATGGTTCACAATTTTGAAAAAAAATCACAAATTCACTCATTCAATCAATTTCAACCTGCATTTTCGTGCCAGAAGCCTTAATTTAATTTCAGAACAAGTTCGCGGGAGCTCATTATTGTAGGTGTTTAGTAACGTGTAGGCCCTCCACTGTTTCTCGTAATCCGTGAGTCTGTGTGAAATTGTATGATGTGCGTCACGTCTTTGTCAGGAATCTGTTTCGAGGAGAGCTCTGATTAGTTGTGGATGGCGATATATTTTATTTCGAGGTTTGTTTGAGCTCATCTCATAACTGCTCAATGGGGTTTATGGTACGGCGGGCTACGGTAAACATTGACAATGGCGTCTGAAAGTGCATATTGGGTAGTGTAGATTGTATGAGAAAGTGAAATCTTCCATCAAGATAAAATCCCCCGACCATCTCGATGTGTATCATACATTTGATGCTGGATGTCTTGCTGGACGAAATTGGAAGTGTTCCAGTGGTCTTCATACAAGAATATCAACTTAGTTTACTCATTAGGCTGACTCCGTCCTACATTACAATACTGGACCCACCAAAGTGGTCAGTTTTTCCAGTACAGGAATCCGAAAAACGTCCACCTGACATCCTGCAAACGACTTTGCTTTAAATACTGAAAAATTTAAGTTTACAGTCATCTGTAAAGAGCACAGTCCTTAATTTATTCATGGTCCATTCAAGGTCTTCACGTGCAGGTTTTAAACGAGCTGCACGATGCGCCCACTTAATTTCAGATGCATAGCACGCATTCTAGAGCGTTGTTGGGTTTCATGGAGCCTGTTCCGTTATGGTTTGAACACTCATTCGGGTACCAGTAGCTTTATGTAAGCGATTGTGTAGTTTGAGCGCTTTGACTTGAATTAAGCCGAATGAAACCGATCTTCATGGGAAGTCCGAGTTCTACCTTCATCTCGTCACATGGTGACAATACCTGTCTCCTAATAACACCCACTTAGGATCGCAAACCAAGATAGACCGAGACTTAAAACTACCGGTTTCAGTGAATTGCCCTTTTGTAGCAAAATTACGCTCTGGAAGCGGCTTCCGAGTTCGTATTGCTCTTTTATCGCAAACAGCTGAGTAAAGAGTATTGAATCATCTATCACAACTTAATGTCAACTATGTTGGCGATGGCGCTCGGAGGGGATACTGAAACTCAAACTTATATTGTAAAGAAATCGTTAACGCCTAAATAAACGATACAATATCAACCGTGTTTTTCTATGAGGTATAAGAACACAAAAGATTAGAAAAGCACGTGGTACGCAGATTTGACCAAATTTTTTGTATTTTGTTTATCATCTTAAGAATCACCTCAAAGTTGACATTCCAAGGGTGATTGACTAATCTGTAAAAATATTTACTTGAAGTCTAACCCAAATACGGTTGTATTCTCTACAAAATTCAAATGGCCTAAGTTGTTTTGAATAGTTTATTAAAAGAAGGTATTCTGCACGGAATGTTTTTATCTAACTTAATGGGTAGGAAACCAATTGTCAAGACAAAGGTATTTTCATTTATTTTAAAAGGGTGGATCAAAAAGATAGGATCTTAAAAATAGCTGGTTCGTTGAAAGTAAGTTTTTCGAGTTTCTATGCTCCGCAAAATAAGATGGTAAACATATATGAGTATTGTATCAACTCCTACGACCCATAATCATTAAACAATATCATTAAGGTATTATGCGTAAGTTCTGCTACTGGGCACGGATCTCCTATAAAATATTTTTTTATTCAAGGCACATTGTCAACCCTTCTACATGGGTGTCTGAGGGCGATAATATACATACATCAAGATGCTGTTGGGACTACCGTGGTACTGTAGCGAATCCTGGGAATAAGCTCAAGCGGGAGTTGAAGACTTTTATGCTGGCGTTACTGCCCTTGAGACTGCTTTCAAGTTCTAACAGCATCCTAAAAATGTACAAACAATAGTCTTAAGTTTAAATTATTGTTTTTTCTTTTACTGACAAGAAGACGCAAGACGTCTCACTAAAAGATTTATTATCATTATAAAGAGGGTAAAGGCCGAGTTGAGGACTTACCACGTTTTTCAAGGGTTATGAACCTTCTTCAACATGGTAGGTTTCATCACGATGATTTCCTACATGGTTAGCGAGAGGTAATGCTTCTAAACGTTCACAAATTAACGATACTTACGAAATTAAGTAATATGAACCTATGACACCACCATAGGGATTCGAACAGGCAACCTCTCAATTGGGCAGCAACCACTCTCCCATTGCTGGGGTAGAATATCTTTGAATATGGGATATTTTCTCATAACCGTGACGCGCTAATCGATATCACGACGACCTTCCTGGCGGATAGTACATATCGGAATTCCAGATACTTCATATAAAGTAAAAATTTATATTAAATATTGTCATGTAACTAACGCTATAATATTGTTTAAATTAAAAATAAAAATATTATTTTTTTTATATGTGACAGGCAGATGACTCCACTCCACCTGATGTTAAATGGAACGTGGAATCCATACGTGAAGGAACCTAGGGTAGTTTTGATACAATCACTGTCTTAACCACCTTGACCCTGGATGATGATGGATTCAAGATGCGTCTTCATGCCTCGTTTGAAGGACTCCATATCGTAAGGAGGGAATACGTGTGCTGGAAGGGAGTTCCATTCGTCGGCTGTGCATCAGAGAAAGGTGTCACCAAACCTTTTAATTCGCGATGGAATACGGCAAGTTGCAAAACGGTGACTACGGAGGCCAGCACCTGTGCTTCGGAGCAGGAAAGGAGAGGGAGGGATAAGGTTGAATAAATCTCAAAGCAAACAAAATATTTGTTGAATGGTCAAAAATTTTAAATGTTGGTGAGTCGGCAATTAACTTCAAAATATTAAGTAAATCCGTGATAAAATTTAAAATTTGACGATACCTTTTGCACTGTGGGCACTGAGGAAGTACCGGACCGATTTGGAGAACGGATTTTTCTAAATTGATACTAGTATAATAGTAGGTAGTGAAATCCGTTTCTCTGATCCTCATAGTATAGGGAATTCCCTCGGTTAAGTTCAGGTAGTTGGTGTGGTTGTAAAACAGAAGATTGAGTCGATTTGAAAGTCGATAAAGTACAGTGACCATGCTCCCATTATCTTATCATATTACAGTAAATATCAATTTAGGAAGACAAATTATTTCTGTACAACATTAAGTGCACTTTACAACAAATTGGATCTAGGATATGGGGAATATTCGCAAAAACATGAGTGTCAATATCTCTTGAGTAAATCCTTTGAACATAATACCATTATAAAACATTAGTTGGAGCCTTTTTGAAGTTAAGTAAAGCTCTTTCGAACAATAAAACCCATATACTCAATTTTCTTTTCGTCAACTTCGCGTAGGACTTTATGTTATATTTGTTAACTTGAACGTCTGAAATTGTACTCACTTCTGTTACCATCGAAAAACATTGTCATCGTAAGGGGAACTTCGGCATAGTTGCCGAATATCAAAGGTCGCTGACCATGCACCTTGACTAAACCAGACACTGGTAAGTCGATGGGACTTTGAAATTTTCCTCCACAACCTGTATATAATTTGTACCAGTTCTGCTGATCTGGAAAAATGATATTAGCGCTGTTTAAGCCTGGGGTCATGTGTTTTACAGTCACCTGCAATAGGACACGTAGTCAAATTGCAATCAAGTAAGCTTCGTAAGCGTGTGTTGAATTATTTAAATGTTTTACTTAGTAGCCGTAGAGCTCGTCCAGTGAAGTACTGTCTACCTTAATTATTTCTGTAGCCAAGCAGTAACATGAGTGTTACTGCATTCTGGTTTTGAAGGGTTTGGTGAAATTACAGGCACATGGAACTTTTCAAATTATGTTTCAGGGTGACGGATGCAGACACACCCAGATTTTTGGGATTTAACCCTCAACACACGCAGAGTTGAAGCGTCGCGACGCGTCATGTTTTTCGCCTATAGCATATTCATCTCTATTTTCCCATTATTAAGGTACAAATTTGTATTATGCAAATATGGATTCGCGTGTCGACGCTTGGTTGCAGTCGAGCGGCTTCATGTTACTTGAGCGCAGTGAGGTGTCAGACGCCGACCACACTGTGATCCGGGCGCACTAAAACGAGCGTCGTCGCCAGGCGTTGTAGTTGAAAAACAGGACGCGACGCGACGCTTCGACTATGCGCCAGTGTGAATTGAGCCTAAAGCAATGAACGGCACTGCAAGTATTATGGACAGGCATGTCGCTTACCACCAGGCGCACGACTCGTTCGTCCCATCACTTGGTATTATAGAAAAGTATATGTGACAACACTGACCATTAACACACCCCGGACACTCCATACAACGGTCGAAAGTTATGTACCTACTACTACTACATACAGTAAGGCGCTATCTGCACACGCGCAAATGTGTGCGTGAAGTTGCAGGGTTATCCATCGCTTCTCGTACTATTACATCACGTGGTCAGAGCGGCAACATAGCGAAAATTCTAACGCGAATCTGTTATCTATAATTCTATTCATAGAATCTTAATAATTACACATTTATAATATTATATTTTTCATTAATTCACTAACTAGAATAACAATGAAGATTTATTTAAAAGATATATTAAAAGCACTTAAAATGTTATATTTTAGACAGGTACTTTTAAATAAGGTAACCAAGGTACTTGAAATTGCGTACACTACATAATATTTATCAGCAATAGAAATTTAAAATTTAAGAATCCTTGTCTATTAGCTCACGAAGTTATGGCGTCTCATTATATTGATGTAATAAATCTGTATTATATATTACTCTGCACTAAATAAATGAAGAAAAATATAACTGAATGAGTCTCAGACATAAGTTTTTTTACTTAATTCGTTTCATCTTTAACTCCTTTCTTTATCCTGTTTAGATATGATAAGCAGCCAAACACAGCACCATTCACGACCATTATGAATAGTAACGTACAATGATGTTATATATTAACGTACAAGTTCCGTAATGAATAAATGAAAACTATATTCAAATATCAAAGCCGTCTTAGTACGAAAACGGCTCGCCGACAGCCTTGTTGTCGTTCAGTCAATGTGACCGTCAATGTGCGGGGCGTGGTGCTGTGTCTAAAGCTAGGGAGGGGCGGTGAGTGTCCATTCTGTTTATTTTTTTATTCTCTGCCATTTCTTAAAAAATATTGAATTATTTTAATGCATTTTTTATATGAAACTCGATTTTTAATTACTCTACGGGTCACTTTTATGCAGGCGAGTGTAAATCATATGACTAATAAGTTTTTAATTTGACGTTCTCGGTGACACAGCGATTGTTATCATGGGCGCTTGATAAAGAGGTGACAAATTCGATTCCCGGTAGGACCAACTTAGGGAAATATAAAAATTTAAATAGATTATTTGTCTATATATTGTGGGTTGTGCTTTCGAAGTTGATTGAATTGTTTTGGTAATCATAGCACATATAATTTCTTAGTTTGAGACCAGGTAATTGGATAGATTGTCAAGTCCAAAAAAAATACAATTTGTCTGAATAATTAGTTTTAATATTCATAATATAAAAATGTATGTTAAAAGAATTAAAACTTACCTTGATATATCCAATTTAACTCTAAAACAAGAAAACAAAAACGTTAACGTTAGAAACTAAGTGAATATTGAGTACAAATATCTATAGAGATGTTACAAACGAGAAGAGCGTACTTTTGTATAGTGCAGTAGGTCGCAGAATATACAGACCTTTATTCCTATTGTAAGTAAATTCCCCATATTACAATAAAAAATAAAATAAAGAACCTTAATTGAATATGATGACTAATTTGCACTTATATGTAAAAAAAATTGGCTTAAGACACTCTTTTTTTAACCCTAGACGCAAAAAGAGGGAAGTTATTTAAAACCTTTATCTGTGTATTTGTGTGAGTGACCTCAAAGTGTTTTTTTTTTATTTGAAGGCTGGTTTACACATATTATATTCAACTGCTTAAATATCAGCCAGTTAGTGAAGGATCTCATTCATAAACTTCTTTCTGTCCAATCGATTTGAAATTTGGTATGCTATAGAAATTCGATGATATTACAATAATATGGCTACCTTGACCTGAATACTGCATCTTGGACAGTCTGCAGAGTTATGTACTTACTGTAAAATATCTTCTTTGGGCTGACTTTATTGACTTTTTGGAGTACACTGTTTTGTGTCGGGGATTTTCCTGCATTTTTATTTCAGTTTTATTAAATACGTAGCCAATTTGCATCACGACTGTGTAGCATTAATTTTGATTTTGAATCTCTATTCGCCTAAGCTGTGCAACGGCACTAGGCCGCGGGTCCAGTTTCTCCACAGCATAGGTTCCGAAACTTTCTGGCTCACCGCCCACTTAGGCAACATAAAGAAATTTCGACGCCCACCACCACGAAAAATAATTGAAAACACGTATTTTTTATATCAACACAAAAAATCACAAGAACAATAAAAAAAATATATTTT